TAAAGTCTTAAAAGATTCTAAGTTCGTTGCTTCGCGCGCGGACCTTGGCAGCTTATTCCATAGGAAAGGAGCAGCTACCTGGAAAGCTCTGTCTCCCAAAGTTTTCTTGGCTTTCACACTTGGTCTTTCCAACAAACGACCATTGTCGTTGCGCCTCAAATGGTAGGACGAAGGCTGTTGAATACTAATTAAATCTGAAAGGTACTTAGGTGATAGACCATGCAAAATTTTAAAAGTTATCAAGAGTATCTTATAATATATCCTGGCGCGCACTGGTAACCAATGTAATTCTGCGAGTAGAGGTGTTATATGACAGACATTACCTCAAGTGTTGATGATGAACCCTTCATAGAAGACAAATCCAGCTTATGAATCATACGAAGAATGGCCTTTACCATTTCATCATACACCATCCCATACATGGCTTCACGCTGTTCAAGTTTCTGTCCTAACAAGCTGACATCCTGAACAAAACACATAACACTACTTTCAATTACATCCACCTGTTTTACCATTTCAAAAGTTAGATATCAAAGCACCCACACTCTGTGCTGATTTTTGGCTGATGATTTTAAGGAATATAATTAAAAGGCCGTATGCAAGAACGTCCCCTAGATTTTTCGGCCATTTTTTAAAGTGCTCAAAACTAGCTGAATTTTGGCATGTGGGCTTTGTTTCACCTGAGAGACATTGCTCTGAAGTTTTCTTCACTGGGTTGCTTTTCGTTCTCGAGAAATAACGTATGCAAAGAAGGCACACAGGTTGGAAAAACCGAGTGGTTTATTACATACGCAATATCTCGAGAACAAAGCGAACTTTAGCGCAAAAACTATGGGACATTGCTTAACATACCTGAACGAAACTGCATGCGAAATTTGGAGGCAGCATTTTCGACAAAGTTCACTTTTGATTAAAATACCTGACGCCCTTTTCCCGCCAAGTCCTTCAAATAAACGAAGCCGGGCCTTCGTTATGATAAACAGAGCCGATCCTTTGTTATAATAGCCAAGCCAAGCCTTTGTTATAAGTCGAAGTCTCGCCTCGGTTTATTATAACAAAGGATCGGCC